ACAGCTACAACATGCAACCCCACCACCCCCAACACAAACACAGCTCTGCACATTACAAAATACCGACCATACTTCTCTACATGGTATCCCCAATGTGTCGCCCTTCTCTCACTTCTTTTATGATGTGTTGTCTGCATTGTGACTCTTTTCCCTTGCCCCACCAACCGGTGGTTGATTGTGTTGATTTGAGCACAAAATGAGGATCGACTTAGGGCCAATTTTTAAGAAACCAAAGTTACAGATATATTACCCGAAAACATGGTCTTAAGCAAAAAGAATTGTTCATCTTGCACGTCATGAGCAAGAAAACAGAAACTGGAAAGGTAGTAGATCAAGGATAGAAAATAATCTTTTAGCAACTCAAAGTGAATAATTACCAGAGTGAACATTACATTACACAGAACCACTTTAGAATCAATAAACATGCAAATAAAAGAGAAAATTTCGATGAGCATATTTTGGAAAAAAAAAAAATCAAATTCTAATCAGTACCGTAACAAATTACATAAATTACCGGCAGATAACACACCACGATTAACAATAAAAAAAATATTACACGAAACTCTAGACGTCAGAATATATCAATCTACATCAATTACACACCTGAAGAGGCTGGTCAACTTGAGATAGCAGATCTGAGGAGTGCTGAGGCAAGAGGCTGAGAAGTGCAGAGAGAGCTGTCTCCGATTGCTTCGGCGGTATTCTTCTCATCAACCCCATTGCCGCCTCCATTCCTTAATTACTTCTAAAAATTTCTAAACAGAAAATCCCCTCTCTGAATGCTGGATAATGTTACTAGCAAACAGGGATTTAGATTTATGCTGCGTTTGATTCTCGCTATTTTTAATGAAAAATGTCATTTTCCTATCAAATTTTTTCTATTGAAAACATTTTTTACTTTTTGGTCAGGGTATAGATTTTTATTTTATAGGTAATCGTCACTCCATATATTTCCACTCTCCCATCTATCCACAATATTAAAAAATAAAAATAAAAAAATAAAGGACATTTGGATTTTCTGGTTAAAAATTAAATCAAACAAATATATTTAATTAACAATTTTCATTATTTTCTTTGTAATTAAACTTCAAGCACCCCCTTAGTCCCCGTTTGGCCCCCATTAAGCCCTCGTTTGAGCCCTATTAATTTTCATTACATTACATTTTATTTTTCTCTCTTTTATTTTCAACCATACAATCTTCCATAAAATAATATTACACGTAAATCGAAAATTTTTCTTTTTTTTCAACCACTCATTTTTAAAAAAAATACTATTCCACCCATTAATTTTTCTATGTAATGGGGGCCAAATAGGGGCTAAATTTTATTTTATTTTTCTCTCTTTTATTTTCAACAACATAACTTTTTATCAAATAATATTGCACGTAAATCGAAAACTTCTCCTTTTTTTTTTCAACTACTCATTTTTCAAAAAAACATTATTCCACCCATTTTTTACATCAAAAAATGGAGGCCAAACGAAGACTTAATTCATTAGCGTAACTGTGTGATAGAGAGAGAGACGAAGTTATTTGCTCCCAATTTCCCTCGCGAGAATGGTAGGATTCGGTAAGTGCGTGTTTGCCTAAGCTCAATAGTTGCGCTTATAGAAGATAGATTTGAAATAAATTAATTTCGTATTAGCTACAATTGAAATTAATTCACATATTTAATTCCCATTGTTGAACTAAACATCTCAGTTCCTCTCTAAATAAATGTCACCTAACCAACCATATGGTGACTTCAAAATCTCGAAATTGGAAATGAAAGAGCTCTAGGTAAACTTTGTTCGTGATTTTTAAATAACGTTTTCAAAAAATAATGTTATTTATAATGAAAATTATCGATAGTCGTCATACATAATATACATAATACATGTGACAATTTGTTATTTGATGTATTAATATGATAATTTTTTATTGTCTCTCGTATCAAATAATAAATTGTCGTATGTATATCACATAAAATTATCAATAAAGTATCCCTCACTACAAATAGCATTACTCTCTTCATAATTACAACCAAGACATTACACCCTTGTTTGGACTCCATTTTAGTGAGATTTTGGGAAAACTATATTTAAAATTGTAATTCTATGAAGATTGCGTAATTAAAAAGTAAGAAATTTTTTTGAATTTACTTGTAATATTATTTTGTTGAAAAAGTGAGAGAGAGAGAGAGAGAGAGAAAATTTATTAAATTAAAATGAAGTCCAAACAGGGGCTAGATAATATATTCGTCTTAAAAGATAAAACAAATAAGATTGTTTAACCAGACCACTTGGCCCTCAAATATTTGCTAGCAAAGAAAGATGCCAATCTTCAATTGATTAGATGGGTTCTTCTTTTACAAGAGTTTAACTTGAAAATTCGCAATAAAATATGGACCAAAAATGTTGTTGTCAAACATTTGTCTCGACTTGAGCAACCCGAAGAGGTGGTGGATGGGAAAATAAATGAAGTATTCCACGATGAACAACTCTTACAAATCATGCATTTTCTACAGGCCACTCGTAGAACATAGTATGCGGACCATAAATACTTTTCTTGTTAGTGGCATCACTCCCCTGGATCTTTCTTACCAACAAAGGAAGAGATTCTTCGTCGACATCAAGTATTATTTTTGGGATGATCCTTTGTTGTTCAAATGAGGCCCTGATCAAATTGTTCAGAGGTGTGTGTCAAAAGATGAGATGGAGCAAATCCTTGAGCAATGTCATTACTCTCCCTGTGATGGTCATTTTTGTGCCATAAAAATTACATCAAATGTACTTCAATCCGGTTTCTATTGGCTTACATTATGTAAAAATGCTCATACTTTTGTCTCCAAGTGTGACAAATGCCAATACAATGGTAATATTTTTAACTGAAATAAAATGCCTTCGAATTCTATATTGGAGGTGGAGATTTTTTATGTGTGGGGTATTGATTTCATGGAACATTTTCCTTCTTCATTCTCAAATCAATATATCTTGGCGGCGATTGATTATGTGTCAAAATTTGCTTTTTCACCATTAACCTGATCTAGCTAACCCAGCGTTAAAATAATTCAGATTATGCCCCTGTTTGGGCTCCATTAAACCAAAAATACATTTTTTCAAAATTCATTTTCAATGACACATTCTTCAATAAAATAATAAAACACGTAAATCCAAAATTTTTCCTTACTTTTAAGTTTTTAACCAACCATTCTCTAAAAAATTACTATTCCAAAATACATTTTTCCCAAAATCTCATTTTAATGAAGCCCAAACAAAGGCTATTTTTAAGCACTGACTGAACAAGAGGATAAACTATATTAACATCAGGCACAAGTTATTTAATCAGAACATCATATTTTTCACTGTGCTTTAACAAAATATCAAACAATTGGCTCAGTAAAGATAGCTCAAATGCTATTCTCAAATCTCACTACTACTTGCTCCTGAGGTCTGAGCCTTCTCAGAGAAAGAGAGAAGAGAAGAGGGGCAACTGAGCCTTCTCGTCAACAATTTATCAGCATAGCAACTAGTATGAAGACTATTGTTAGTCTGACATGAAACAACTATGTCGATATTGGGCAGACTGAATACAATAATACCAAGGGCACTCACTATTTGAGAAAACATACTGCATTCATAGATTTCAACAGTGTCTTATGGAGAAGCCATCACCGTTAATGGCTTTTGACCTCTTTTTAAAGAAATATATCCATAAAACTTCAAGTGAAGCAGAAAAACATCCAACTCAACTTTCAAAAGGTAACATTTTAAGTGATGATTTCCCCATGACTTCCAAAAGAAAATCAGCATGAGATACTGCATTGGTATAACATTAAAATTTACTATAAATCCAGCATGACAGATGTGGTACCTGTCTTCTAATGGAACCGGACAGACTGAAGGTGCCTGATGACTCATCATTTGTTGTCAATGACAGCATCACAGTACTTGTCAAAGAGTAATGCGCTATTTCTTCTTCTTGTCCAACCTTGAAATTAAGAATCAGAATTAGGAATAAGTAGACCTACTTAAGGAAAGATGAGGAAAAGGAATTATAATATTTTACTTCCATTTATTTCTTCTCTTTCTGGCAGCTTGTTTGGAGCAGTAGATGATATCTACCTCAATAACATGTATGGCATCCCAAGCTCCTTCTTGGAGATAGCCTCTCCTACCATGTCCAGACTTTGAGCCGTCTTCACCATCATCAATCATCAAAAACTTGAAATGCTAACAAAGCACCATTTGCTTTTAAAAGTTAACAAAATTACCTTTTTTAATTAAAAAGCAAGATACAAACCCATCATTTTCAGTTTCCCATATATACACTGATGAACTGCCTCCTTCATAATACCTATCCATAAATTGGTGAATCAAGCTGCTAGCGACTCATGAAAACAATAACAATTGAGAGCAGTGCTTTGACATGACACATAAACTAAAAAGAAAACCCAAATCCATAACATATGTCTTGTACTTTGTTTTGGTTTAAGGTAAAAAAAGAAGGATTCAAATGTGCATGAAAATCATCCAAGTAAAAGGGAAGGATGAGACAAGTAAAGGACCTCACTGGTCACGATATATAGCAAAGATGTCGTTTGCTTCAATCTCAAGCTTCCTCAACTCTGGAGATGGATGAGAACCATCTTCTAGTGGGGGATGGTATGTGTTTGACCAAGGTGACCTAGTGATGAGAAAAAGGGCAACAAAATACAATAATCAAATCATGAATGAATTATACCTCAACAACAGGAAATCTTACTATATACTTAAATATCATGTGTTTCTTTAAATGTTTGCAACAAGTATCAGGTGCCTAATGAAGTATGAATGATGTTCAAAATTGGGATGCATATCAACACCTGACTTACCTTGGTCCATAAAGTACAATGTTGTCATTACCTTAAGAAAATTTTCCTACTTCCAAAGTAAACAGAGCTTGAAATGATCTGTCCGTTTGACTTAAGAGAGCTCAGATCAGTTACCTGTAAGAGTCTGCATCTCTGTTGTATTCACATAAAATGAATTCCTTCCCACATTCAGCATCACATAAAACCTGCTTTACCCATTTAATAATGTTAGAACACACATCTGATTGGCAATAGTAACTTTTAGACACACATAATGTTTTTAAAAGTGTCAAATAAACTGAATAATTCTCAATAAGACTCCATGCCTCTCATTGTGAGAGGTTCTCTAGAACTAAATCAAACTAAATATGGTAAAAGCAATATATTTATATATGGTAAAATATAATTATAATGTAGCCGTAATATTCTATAATTTTCGATGATCTTAGTAATCTTTATTTAACCTCATTAACATCCCCCTCAAATTGATAATTTGCAATATTGAACTACGACGATAACAATACTTGTGTCCACGAAGAAAAAATTCCAAATCAGAGCAACTAACTATGAAAACTAGTAATGACAAGAGACCAAAAACAATAAAATAGTGCAGAAACAACCAAGAACAACTCCAAAACCATTCCAAGAACACTCTAGAGAGGTCTCTGATAGGATTCTAATTGCAGTTTGTGAACAGAAAATATGTTGCTGTTATTAATTGGAGAAAACGAAGAAAAATTACACTAACAGATCAAAAACAATAGCCATTCGAGAGGGCTAAACTCTCCTAAAGTTCTCTCTTCTACTCACTGCCTATTCCCCCTATTGCTAGCTTCTACCTTCATTTATAGATCTCTTCGAACAGAATTCAGTTTTCCTTCCCCACCCACTTGCAGTAAATTCTGCTTTTGGATCTTTCTAGAATAACGTGACTGGACATATTAGAAACCAATTTAGCCTTAGGGATTGTAACGTGACTGGGCTGAAATTTTGACTAGGGATGGAAAAGAGTTGTAACGTGATTGGAGGGGAAGAGTAGTATTGTCTTGGTTTGGTGTTAATATGGGTTTACTTTTTAATGGGCTAGGGTTACTTCTATTTGGGCTGAGATTCAGTTGGACCTGTTTCACTATCTCATATTGCTCTTCAACTCTTTGTGCCCACTCCAAATTATAACCCAAACCCATTAGCTCCACCAATTCTCTTCTTTCATCTTATCTATTTGTAGCCCGTTAATAGTGATAACTTCCTCTACGATCTCCAGCTTCTCCTCCTCCTCCCCCCCCCCCCGGGGCCCCT